CCGCAAATGGGTCATTGGGGGGGGGGGGGAAGGGGGCCGGAATGGGCATGAATTTTTTAACCCTTTCACGCACAATTGGGACAAAAAAGAAACCAGTCCATCGTTTTATAGTTACATGTGCTTCGTGGTTATTCCAGAGCAGAGTAGGCGAGAAACTTATTACAGAACGTACATGTTTCTAAAGCACTGTTTAAGTATGAACATGCCAGCGAAGATCAAGCTAAACTTGTTTCTAACATTTTAAACGCAGGAGGAAGTAGTAATAGAAGCTTTAAAGAAGAGATTCAGCAAGACGTCCCTGTAGAAGAAGAGGCTGATGACAAACGTGAAGAATTTTCAAAGGCGGTGTTAATGTCAGGCAGGAGCCATATGTGGCTTCTGTGTCAGGTGAATGTTTTTGGAAATAAGCTGAAAAACGAAAAATAAAGATACATCTGGCTGATAAATATTCATTGTTTCTACAAACACAAGCCATAATAAGTAACAATAATACATATGAAAATGAGATGGCGAAGAAGGTGTAAACACTGACGTTCCGTAATTACCTCCTACAGAAAATACATTTTGCTCTCGCCATGAACATGCATCATTGGATTATGACGATTATGATTCACGCTTCAGTAATACGTTAACTGAGCTTGATAGCGTGACCTAAAGTTATAAAACATGACATGTAATGAGAGATTAAAGGCTTTCCTGTGAATGCTTGGGTGGATATTCTCTGATCAATTATTCGTTCTGAACGAATGCCCGACAGCTGGCACGAATGTTATAGTAGCCTAAGGCAACATGATCAGTTTGCCGAATCCAAACAGCTAGAAACAGAAGTGTAAGAAGTTTTATTCCATTGAATGCTTGATAATGGCGGAAGACCAAGTTTTCGAGGAACAAGAGGCGCCGAGATTGTCAAAGAATGCAAAGAGGCTTGGTTTATCATTCGTGCCTTTCTGCATTATTGCCAGTGTGGTGTTATTTGCCGCCGTTGCAATCTCGCTTAGAGGTTGCCCTGACTGTAAACAGGGTTCACCGATGCTAGTTTCAATGATGGCAATACTTGGCACTTTACTGTTGTTTCTTGGAATCAGTATATTGACGGCGTTTTGTAGAAGAAGGAAAAGCAGCTCAACACGGACTCCTCGAGTTGCCATCTCTTCCATCCCCGCCGAAGATTTGGAAAAGTCTCCAGCTCCTACACTGCCTTATTATCATGTCCCGCATCGGCAGCCGACGTTTGTTGTGAAGACCTCTCCAATGGATTTGCCAAATTATTTCACTGCTATTCAAAATACTAGTGAAGTTTATTCATCTTTGCACGCGACAGCATGGCCAGAGGATATTCTTGAAATTCAGCCGCCGTGTTACGAAGAAGCGGTCGCAATGACAGCATATAAAAGTGCTACCGAAGACAAAAAGATTGCAAGCCTCGCTGTCGGTAACTGATGAATTCGTGCAAAATCCTTAAC